GTTCCGCTATCGGGACGGAACCAATAATGGCGAGCCGTTATTTTATTTTAAATTAAGACCTACGAAAGACTGATTTAAGACATTTTAAAACCAATTAAGGCCTTAGTTTTATTTTGAAGAATTCAATGCCTTTTAAGACTTTTTAAGGACCCGCGGGAACCCTGAATAATGTAAATCAGCGTATTTGTCTGGCCAGATTTCCTTTTATGAGTGGAAATAAATTTTTGGTACAATTTGGCCACTTTTGGCACTGTGCCAAAATCACATTTCCTCCTAGCACACTGCCCACTAAAACCTTTGTGGAACAAACATGCTTCAACTCATTCAGTCCAAATTTGCTTGACTAAGAGTCAAGATGTGGATCTATAAAGTGTGAGCGTTCATCCAGAGTTTCAAATGGGGTTTCAAGGTGTTTTGCAATGTTTATTTTGGAGAAAAAAGTTGCCGTAGCTAAATATCTTTAATTTTGTCTTTGTTTAATCATGTATAAATCAGACATGGTGACATTTAAAATAGTGGTTCCACCTGATAAATATTCCTCAATACCTTTCTGTCACACAAATACAAACAATTGTATTTCAAATTTAGAGTTTGCGAGCTGTACTTGCTTTAATTCAAACATGTAATTTCTAAGAGTCTCTAGGCTTCGGGGATTTAATGGTAGCACGTAATTTAGCGGGTTAACCCGGCTCTGGTGTTCCCACAGCGTGCTGATCAGAGCAGAGGTCACTTGCAGAGTGGTCAGTGAGCTGTTCCCACTCCCAGTGTTCCCACTGGGAGTGGGAACACTGGGAGTGGGAACAGCTCAGCTACACAGTGGGGGTGTAAGGTTAACAAGCACAGCAGGCTATGTGACTACCCGATTCTTAGCATCAGCTCATCTGCGCATGCGTAACCAGAAATTCATGAGGATGACCCTCAATTTTACTATATAAAATTAACAAAAATATTTTTTTATCTCCATAATATTAATAAGTGTACTAAACTACAATGTTTAAAAGGTTAATTATTTGTTTTCTGAGAAAATAAAGGTCTTAAAATCCTTTTTATCACTCGTGTGCCCGATCTTTCTCACAGATGGGATCCTACGCTACTTCCGACGGCTAACTTTCAGCTTTAAATTTATAGATATTCGAGCCTTTTTGGGTTGAATGTTTGCCTTTTTTTTACCTCCATAGTTTGCTGTGTCATAATCTAAAAACAGACATGAACACTGTGAAATGATATTTTGTCGTCTAGCGACACAAGCATTCTGATACGCATTTTATAGCCAAATTCTTGCCAATAGGGCTTGGGATCCGCATTGCATTGTGGGATGTGGCGGCCATATTGAGGGCTACGCGAATGTAAACATAGCTCTGATACAACGTTGTTGTTGAACGAAGAAACGTAGAAGTAGAGAGAAAAAAGATGTTAAACTCCCGAAAAGGATCTGGAATTTACCGGGACACATTAAATAGAGAAGCCA